GGGAAGGGAAGGGAAGGGAAGGGAAGGGAAGAGAAGAGAAGAGAAGAGAAGAGAAGAGAAGAGAAGAGAAGAGAAGAGAAGAGAAGAGGGAAGAGAGGAGGGGAAGGGAAGGGAAGGGAAGAGAAGAGAAGAGAAGAGAAGAGGGAAGGGAAGGGAAGGGAAGGGAAGAGAAGAGAAGAGAAGAGAAGAGAAGAGAAGAGAAAAGGGAACAGAGAAGGGAAGAGAAGAGAGGAGAGGAGAGGAGAGAAGAGAAGGGAACTCTGAGTCTTAATAAAGGACTTTAAAAAAAAAGAAAGAAAGAAAGAAAAAGAAAAAAGGCAATGTGGTGTTGTAACTCTGGGATGAAAGCTGGACGGATCTGTCAACAACCAGTGATGGCCACCACCTTGGATGAGCCACGGAGGTCCACATGGCAGAAAAGGAGCTTTGGAATTTTATTTTTATTTTTTATTTTTATTTTATTTGGTTTGTCAATTGCTTACAAGATAATAAGTATAAGTAAAAACATAGTTATGAATACATATAAGAAAAATAAAAGAAACAATAGGACAGGGGCGGTAATGATGGGACACCTGTAATTCTTTGCATCCTGTTGACTTCCACTCCGTGTCAGTTCAATCCAGCGAAGGCTGAAGGCTGCGTGTATCTCTCATCAAGGGGAGAAGCAACCTAGAACGGAAGAGGAAGTTCCAGACAGCGAGAGCAATTAACCAGTGGAACGGCTTCCCTCCAGAAGTTGTGGCTGCTCCGACATTGGAGGGTTTGAAGAAGAAGAAGACTGTCTGAAATGGTATAGGACTTCCTACCTGAGCAAGGGACAGGACGAGACTAGAAGACCTCCAAGGTCCCCTTCCAACCCTGTTCTTCGGGTTATTTTTACAGCTGTAGATGACGATCAGATAAAACAGGTTGGTGACGTTGTTGTCAAGACCAAGAGGATCCTAAGTAACCCGGTTTCCTCTTTCAAGATAAAGCAGATCTAGGACAGCGTGTTGTAACGGCTTGACGATGGTCAAAGAAATGTTATTCCGTCCTCTGCAGCATGAAGAGCTACGGGAAGGCTGGCATTTTAGTCTGCCCGGTTTCAATCCAGAGAGGGAAAGAAATGTATTTCATTGACGTGTTAATGTGACTTCTGCTCCTTCTCGGAGGAACACAAAACACGGTTATATAAAATACAGGTTGTAGAGGTTTGTCTCATGTGCAAAAATGCTTCAGAAAAACAATGCTTGCAAAGGGTCATATACTAGGAAAAATGTATTGAAGACGTGTATGTTTGAGAAAAAATATTACCCTTGAAATGCACCCTAGGAGAAAAGCCTAGGTAAATATGCATTGAATACTTGAATGGATGCATCCTGGAGCACCAATCGATCTTATCTTTTGTTTCATTCAGAAAACTTAAGAGCATCTATTTGGAGCAAATGTCCAAAGATAAGCATATATATGAAGAGATCTTACACTGCTTTGCAAATAAATCTACTCCAATTACTCACCTCCCACCCCCGGTGAATTTATTTATTAGGTTTACAATCCACCGCAATCTCAAAGACTCTTCATATACATCAACAGCAACGCAATAAAGAATCTCAGCAAAAGAATATAACGGCAATGAATCAAAAGCAACGCAACCATCAGTCACTTCCGTGGCATCAGCTTCTTCTCCCAGAGGCTTCCTGAAACAATTCCACTTTTCAATAGCTTGCAGAAAGATAATATGAAAGTGGGGTCTCCTGAGCAGGTTATCCCAGGATGTCCTGGGATGAAGACTCCCAAGATAAAGTCTGCAGAGTT